CACCAGGTAAACATGTTCCAGTCCACAGGAGACTTCTGCACACCATGAGAAGTCACTCAAATGGCGGACATATAGGGGCTTCAACAGGTCAGTGGTGAAATCTTTGTGGGACAACATCTGCATTCTAGTCCTGCCTCAGCCACTCATTTGCTGAATAATGTTGGGTGAATTCCTTTTCTGCTCTGGACCCTAATCTGCCAGGTGTAAGTGAGGGGAGTGATTTCTAGAAGGGTCTTGCAGCTCTGACATGCCAGGGTTCTACCATCAACTCATCCTCAGCAAGTTCTGTTCATTGCCCTGATGACAGATCCCAAAGATCCAATGTAGATAAAAATTGGTAATATTTATTGAGTCTTCCAAGTGTGCCAGGCACTGTTTTAAGTACTCTTTATGTACTAACGTCTTTAAGTCTCAGGTCAGCCCCATGACATAGATTCTATTATTATCCCCACTGTACAGATGGAAAACTTGAGGCACAGAGAGGTTAGAAAACTTGCCCAGGGCCACATAGCCAGGAAGATCGATGCTATGGGGTGTACATTTCCGAGTACATTATAAGCAATGTTCCCAGATCTCAGTGTACCCAGGAGGTGGCATCGCAGCCCTGCTGTGCACGTGAGGACGGAGGGACTCAGGGGCCAGGCGGACACAGCCGTCAAGTAGCAGAATCAGAGTCAGCAAAGTGACTTCCTGACTTTCATTCAGGGAGATTTGTCCCCAGATCACCAAGAACAAGGGGAGAATATTCAGTAAAAAAGAAATTCAAATGTCAAAAAGGAGAAAAATAGTTCAAGCTCACTAGTACTCAGATAAATGCAAACTAAAGAGCAAAATAATATCTATCACTATCATTTTGCAATCCAATAGCCAAAAATCATTATTTTAATAACTCTAAACATTGGCAAGAGTCGGCTGAATCAAGGTTTTCACACATTAATAGAAGGATTGTAGTTGGAACATTTCTGGAGGGAAATTTAACAAGAACTACAGACTTCTGACTCTGCC